AACCGTCGGTGGGGATGGGCACCTTGTGCTGCGCAGGGACGGGAAACTACCTCCGCAGCACCGCGCTGAACCCACCGCGAGGTCATCCACCGCGGCCCGCAGGGGTCGGCGGGGCACTGAGACCAACAAGGACCATTCGGGGAGCTAGGAGAAGAAGAATGAGGAGACTACTCTACCGTAAAGGAAGGGGGCTTCGGTTCGCTACCCTCACCGCCCCCGACGACCTTAATCGCGACGCTGGCGCTTCGCGGAGGGTTCAGACCCCGTAAGCGTCGCAGTCGCAGGGTCGGTCTCGACCGCACCATACGGCCTCTTGTTGGCCACCTGCGCACTCAATACGGCAAGGTGGTCCTGAGCGGCGCGGATACGCGTCATTGTCTCACCCCGCATAAGGTCGTCGCCGGTGTCGCGCTGGCGGATGGCAAACTGGAGGCCCGCCACCCGCGCCTTGAGCTGGGTCACCTCGACCAGCCAAGCGCGCGCGGACATCAAACCCGCTGCGAGAGTGGGCGGCACGGGCACCCCCGCGTATCCGCACTCCACCTGCAGCGCGCGTAGGGCAGCCTGCGCGTCCGGGGCAATGGCGGGTACCTCCTCGGTTTGCGCATCCGCAGGGGCCCCACCAGAAGCCACCGAGGGATTCTGAGTCCCCGTCCCGCTCCTGTCGCGGACGAGGGGAGCGCCGGAGCCCGGTACCGATATGGGGGCTACCCCGGTCGGGTTTACCGCCGCCGGCTCTACCACAGGCGCCACGTGAAGCGGCACCATTTGTGTCGGCTCGGCAGCGGGTTCCCCTTCAACCCTGCGCGGGGATACCGCGGGCGTGGGTACGTCTACCGCGGGCGGTGTCGAGGGACCGACCGGAGGATTCTCTGTGGTCCCGGCTTCGGGGTCAATCGCGACGACCTCGCCCTGCGGTGGCGACACCGGGATTGCTGTCACCGGCAGGGAGTCGGTTGACGCCTCGACGGGGCGTCCGGCGGAGGAAACCGCCGCGCCCCACCCGTCGCCCGAGGCGACGACCGCCCCGTACGACGGTGTACCGGTGTCCGGTAACGGTTTATACCACTGGTCGGCTTCTGTAGACACACCGTCCCAGTGCGGCATCGGCAGGGAACATCCGCCGGCCCAACTGTACCAGACGAAGTCGCCGCGTTCGGAGAGGGACCAGTCCAACCGTTCGGAGAAATCGAGCAGAGCCTCGGCCCCAACCGGGTCGAAGGTAGTGCCCTCGAGGATGGCCGCCACCCCGACCGACCGGATGAGCTGCAAGAGCCCCGGGGACAGTCGGAAGAGTGAGCCCCGTTCTCCGGGCTCGTTTGAGCTCCGGCTCGCCAAGCGGGGATCCGGGCATTTGGTGAAGAACGGGAGGCCGTCCCGCGCGGCGTGCAGAAAGCACAGTAGCGCCAACACCGCCCACTCGGACAATAAGATCGCGTCGATCAACAGTTGCATCTGAGGTGTCGAGCCTCTCCCGAGCGAACCGGGAGGCATCCAGCGCGCGGCAACGTACGCCAGCGCGCTGGGGGTTGGAACGCAGAGGTACTGCGGGGCCTCGAGAGTGTGCCAGTCCATCGGTAAAGCGGGGTACAGTCGCCCCCGGGACGCCGGGGGCACCGAGAAAAACTCCGTCAGGTGCCACATGTGGAAGTAGTCGTCTCCACGGCGCCACCGCAGGCGACTCTCCTTGGCGGAGTTCTCCCCCCACCGAACACGGTCGGCGATGCTATACCATCGGTCGAAGGGCCGGGGGAAGGCCACTAGCTGCACACGAGGCGCGGGGTCCACTTCCCCGGCGAATCTCCCGAGGAGGTTCAGCAGCCGCGAATGGTACTCATCCTCACCCGCACAGCGGACATAGAGGAGGTCCGAGCCGGATACAGTCACCGACCGGTGGGGGGCGTGGAGACAGCGCGTCCTCCAAGCTGCCGAGCGGTTCTCTTGTCGGATACGACCGCGAGGGGAGGGCGTACGAATGCCCCGCCGCCTCGGTATCGCCTCGAATCTTGCCGCGTCCGGATAATCCGCATTGACGTAGGCTTCGACGGAGATTGGCGGTTGACCCCGTGAGGGGTTCCGCCCACCTCGAGCCGTGCGATGGTCCATGTCGGCCCCGGGGAGCAGGCCTCGGACCGCACGAACACCGTTCCGGAGCCATCCGGAGGGCAGAGTGGCCGCCGCCGGGTACGTCCCTGCATAGGGGTCGGGGCGTGTCGGATGTGGATCTTCATTGACTACCGAGGGTCCCCCGGCTCCGACCCGGTCGGGCAACTGCGTCACCGCGGTTGCACCGCCAACGCGGGGAACCGGGATGGATCTCAGCGGGACTGGTAGCGGCCCGCGTTCCGCAGGCGTGAAAGTGGCAGTTGGGGCGGGCGTCGCTAAGGGGGAGCCCTCAGAGGAGGGCTGCCCCCGGTCCGTTCGGTGGTTCTCCATCCGTGGGGAAGGGAGTAAATCGGGAGATGAGGTGTGAGGGAGAGTATGGCTGGTGGTAGTCGTGGGGAGAAGCGTTGGGTGAGTTGTGGGAAATGATGAAAGCGTGAGGGGATCCGCCACCGCATGGGAAGAATCACCGCGGTTAAATACCAAAAACTCCACAGGCTCCCCTGTGGAGGTGGCTGCCACGCGACCGCGCGCCCGCGGTCGGCGCGGGTTTTTCCGTACGGTGAGAACTCTCTGCAAGCCGGTCATGGTACAACTCGGCCGCGACGAGGACGTGTCGCGAAATAAGGAAGGGGGTCTGTAGTACAATTGCGTACCACGACCATCCCGGGGAGATGTGAACCGGACGGAAGAGCGGGTACTACTGTAGCGACCGGGCTTGCACGCGCCCGTAGCGGAGTACAGTAGTACCCCGCGGGTCACACGTGCTACAACCGCTGGCGTGGCCACGGGCACACGTGTGTAATCCGTACGGTTATAAGTAGTAATTAGTAGTTAATGGCACGAATTTATTAATTGTGTACAGTAGCTGGTATACAGTAAGTAACAGCTACTGTAGCGGGACAGGTGTCCTGGCGTCCCACTTAGGGGTTAAGACCGGGGGCACCTGCCCCGTCCCAGTAAAGAGGAGGCAGACTCGCCTCCCTTCCCTTTACGGCTAAGTGCAAACACCGTCCCGGTTTTCCTTTAGCTCGGGCTTCTAACCCGTGACCGGCCGTCCGGGTATAACACCACCGACCGGCTGCGCGTCACCGGCCACGTGAGCCTTCCCTCTTTTCGAGTCCATCCGTACGGTTTTTATCCGCGCGTGGGTAACCCAGCGTCGCGTGCTCCCTCACCTCTAACCCCCCTCGTTCCGAGTGGTCGGGACGAAGGTAGTTATACCACACTTGGCTTTCATACCCCTGCCAGTTAGTGATATCACTTGCATTGATTACTTCTGGTACGATGTCTTTGCGCGTTGGGCACCAGATGCCGCACGCTTTGAACCCAGACACAATGTTGTTGTACGTAACAGATCGCTTGTACGCCTCGTGGAGCATCTCGCACAGCGAATAAATGTCATTACGGCATTCATTGGTGGCACAAATAGCTCGACGGTTCAATGTGCTGCGAAAAAACGTCGTGAACGCAGAAAAAACTACTGAGTAGTCGAGTACGTGCGTCCTGTGGCTGGTGTGTGCAGGCAGTCCGACGACGACAATATTGTTTTCTTTCAAAACCTTGAGCGCTCTCAATGAAACGTGTGCTCCATAACCATCAAACGTGAGCACAATGTTTTTATGCTTTTGTCGTAAATGTGTTGTTTCCGTTACAAACTTCTGCGCCCAGTCGTAGAAAATTGCTCCGTCAACTCCGGCTGGATCTCGGTAGCTTGTGTAGGCGTTTGATGGAAGGTAGCAAGACGGTGTTTCTTTTTTTCCATCCGCGCGGATCCGGTATTTCGACCGTTTTCCTGGAAGAACGGCAACTGGGCACCACACCCGCCCATCTGCAGATACAACCGGCGTTATGGTCACATTAGCAGCGTTTTTTTTACCATTTCAATTCTTTGGCATTGCTGAGAGCTGTGCGCTCGAACACCGCTTTTGTTCGGCTACGATGCACAGTTCTCACAGAAAACCCACTTTCATCAAGATTGAATATTTGTTGAGCACTCGTTATTTTATAATCTCTGTACACTTGGTGAAGCCGCGCGAAGTGTTCTGCCATTGTGACAGGGGACATGGCATGAGCTCGCGGTTTTTCGAGGTTGGCTCTGTGTTTGAGGGAAAGTTCTTTGTGTCGATTCAAAAAGTTGCGCACAAAACTATCTCCAGGTCTGTTATCCTTAAACGGTATAGCATTCTGACGAGACAGTGGCAGACTGTTTACAAACATTTGAACCAAGTCTTTGAGACATTCTCTTGACAAAGGCGTGCCATTTCGTGAAAACTCGAGTGCGGCTTTCTTGATAGTTTGCTCCTCCTCAGTAAACAGTACTGGTTTTCGTCCGCGTCTCTCGTCATTAAAAGTGACGCTGCGCTTCATAGCGCGTTGAAACGTCGTGTTATGTATGCCATATGTCTTGGCGATTTGACGCCAAGACATTTTGGAAGAGCGAGCGGCAAGGCATGCATTGTGAAGCTGCCTAGTACGGTGCTTTTGGATGGGAGGCGCTGGAGCGTTGACTCGCCATGGTCCTGGTCTCATCGCACTGGCCAGTAACCGAAATGGAAAAGGAGGCTTAATGGTCTTGAGATGTGGAGTTCGGCTTTGTTGTGGAACAATCGTTCACAGTCAGGCGTGATGGCTCCGTTTCCCACTGGACTTTGCGCCAAAAATTCGAATTCTGGTGGCAGAACGGCGCCAATCCCAATGGATTCTGCGCTGCGGCCTAATCTTTGATGTCTAAAGGTCCACTATGATAAAAGCTCCATAAATTTTATGAAAAATCCGACCCAAATTACCACACTGACCCACATTTGGGCACTAGGTGATATGCACGTATGCAGTATGCAGTCTATTGGCCATTCAAGGTAAAAAGCCCAACTTTTTTCACGGTAAATGATATTTGCATGCAACTTTCGAGGGTATGCGGACAGCGAGGTCTACATAAAGCGGGGTTTCACTGTACCCCCCCTTTACAGTGTTTGGATGTTGGCGCCACCGAGTCTCTCTCTCTGTTGCGGCCGTCATCACCTGGGGAATCTTTTATCGAAGTCCATACGTTGCGGCCACACGCATCTCATGAGTTCGAATGTGGCATCTTCACCTTCGACCCATGTCCTGGAGGAAGCACTAAGGGAAGCAAAGCGAGCGGCCGCGGATTGTATCTTGAAATCCTCCTGGATGGTAACTGTTCCATCCGTCATTGTCTCAGTGCCAGTGAGCGTTTATTTACGTAGTTATGCTCCTCTTGTCTTCTCTGCCTGTTCCGCATCCGGAATTGACTATTTCAGAGGCCTTCAGAAATGCAAGGGACTGACTGAGGAGGTGAAGAGGATCCAGCGGGAGCTGGCGATTTTGAAGTTAGGGGTATCTCCCGGTGAGATGTGAATTGCGGATTCCGCGACTCTTTGGATTATGGACAGCGCAGCAATTCCATCTCGAACCACTTCTTGTTATCACCGCCAAGATATGTTTTCGTTGTCTGACGGGGTATGAGGATGAGGTTCGATTTCTTTTGGAGTCCAATCTACTAGCAACGCCTTCATATTGGTTCGAAAGAGCTTGTTCTGCCCATCCACAATTACTCTCACACTTCACTAAATGTGAAGCAGAATCTGTGTTTTGTTTGTGGCTCGTCATGAACTGGGAAGCAGGATCAGGCCTGACTTTTCTGGAGGTGGCTTTCATTTGTCCATTTTGAGTGCTAGAACATTCCGAGGCATTCTCTTTTGCTGGATATTAGCATTAGGGAGCGAAGCAATAGCATCATAGGGTGATGAGTCGATCGTAGAGTCAGATCTTTCTTATTCATCATTTACGGACACAGACTAAGATGATCGAACTTGATAGCTCTTTAGATCATTACTTCGTGCGCGTGCGCAAATCAAGATTGTCGAAATTGATAAGTCTGTTAATCATGAAATCCCTTGATGGTGGGAAACTGCTGGTTGATCGTCGCACCATCGAACAGCTTCTCGAAGAATTCGTTCCATCTCTTCAAGATCGTTGGCAGTTACTTGCAGGGTAGAATCCCTGAAATGAACTTTGCATTCGTGACTCAATTTTATACATTGCTCCACTGTTCGAAATTGCTTCGGGCCGTTGAAGGGAAGACCTGTTTGCATCTGATACTTAAAATACTTCAAACCAGAGTTTCCCCCATTGATGTACATGTCATGTTCGAAACCAAAAGGAAATAACTCGAATAAGACAGATAACGGCGGCATAAACATTGTGTTCACAAGATTAGCCCCGTGAATGCCAATGGCGATAGATGCGGCGGTCATTGTCTCGTATTGTTCCTTGAATGGCATATTATCAAATGACACAATTTTAAATCGATATCCCTTCTCCAAGGAAACATTCTGGAACAAATGGACGACCTTAGATTTTGAACTTTCATCTAAAACTCGCCGTGAACCGTTTCTGTCCAGAAAGACCACTTCCTTCTGGGTCTGAGGAAGATATGGACTACTGTGGTACAGAGCACGAACTTTTTCTCGGAACCGGAGACTATCACGAGGAATGTGAGGAGCACCTGTCATGGAGGTCTGCAGGGAAGGTTGTTTCGAAGGATACTCCCTATCATCTGCGAAAAAGCGACCCTTCAGGAAACCTGGCACGACGGCGCGTCGAAAGCAAACAAATTTCTTTTCTTGTTCAGCACTGCCCGTCATGGAGAAGTTGTGCAGGAGTTGCACGCGTGGCAGGCCGGAAAAAGAGACCTTGCTTTCTCGATAGATGAAATTTCCTAAAGTTCCAATAAAGAACTTTGCCGGAGCAACCAGAGCGGAAAACACGCTCTTATGCCAGTACTCATAGTTGTGCGGATATAGAAATCGCTTCATGATATCCCAAGTAGGAAGGATCAGGATATTCTCCACGATACTTGGAGGGGCCGCATATGCTGCTATGTTGTCAACGATATGCTGCAACATCAGTATCCGACCCGCGAAATGTGCAATGTTACCGCAGTTTTTCTCCATGACCTGAAGAATTGTCAAGCCTCCGACCCAGCGAATTTGCGAGCGATTGTCGTCAAGCCATTGTTTCGTCTCATCGTCGGATTTCATGTTGAGCAAAATCTCTTTTGGAAGAGATTTCCTGAGCACACTGCAGTACTGGATCATCCAGCCCGCCGTGCGATTGTACCCACCACATACTCGTTTTCCTGAGAACCTGATCGCCTGACCAGTATCTGCCTCGATGCAGAGTGGTTTGTACACAGCAACATGGTGGAACTTGTCCCCAGATGCAAACACTTGCTGAGATGTCTCAGCGTCGATGACTGCATTGTAGTTCCAGTTGAGCACTGGAACATGTCCTTTAGGCACATCATCTGCTCCTAACTCCTTAAAATCCAAGTTGTAGCCTTGATGATGAGAGGCTTTTGATTTTTGTGAGTTACTCGTGATACCAATTGAGAGGTCTCCTCCGGAAGATGGTGAAGCAGAAGGTTCTCCCATAGGGCTCTGTTCGTTGGTACTTTTCTTTTCTTTTAACGGTGTTTCGCTACTCCCTTGCGTTACCTGCGACCCAGTGGCAAACTTCCCACTTGTCTTGTTGTTTTCTGCATGCTTCACATTATGGTTCACGATCGTTTCTGTCTTCACTTTGTGCCTGGGAACGACACTATTGATACTCTCAGGATTTTGTATTTTCCTTTCTGAGCTTCCGTTCACCGTTTCCGGGTCGTTTTTTTTTGCAGCCCCAGGTGGTACGCTCGAATTCGTCGATGTTGACTGAGGGTTCAGACCTTTCTCAGAAATCGCAGATCCGTTAGGCTTCCATCTTTCCTTGTTGAGTTTGGGCCGTAAGGGCATGGTTTTGTTTGGGTTGAACCTCGCACTTTCAGGAGAAACGGCATGTGTTCCACGATTGGCTGTATCGTTCGCAATCACGAGTTCTGGGATTGCTGACTGATGGAGTGTCTGGTTGAAGATGTCAGGAAGCACCGCTTCAACGAGGTTATCACTGAGGATGGAATTGCTGGTTTCACGGAGAAGCTTTTCGACATCAGTGTGAATAGCACGAATCTCGCTGTCGTAGTAGTGATGTTTGGCAAAGATAAAGTAGTATAGCGTGAAGAAACCGAGAAGAAGAGAACACATTCGATACATGGTGGGTAATTGCTGCCAAGCTCCGAGCCGTGAGCGAGCCTGTGTGGGGTTTGCGGATCGCCATCCTGCATGAAACGATCGAGAGGATTTCCTCCCTCGCTCAGATGTAGAATTCAGCTGTAGGGCGCGCGGTGAGTGGGAGTCATGGAGGTCAGATAATGAGATCAAATGATGTGCTCGCCTCGATGTGCCGGCGGCTTTTTGTGGGGTGTGCACACGGCTATCATCGTGGTTTACCTCTGTTTCTGATGAAACTAGGTCTCTAGTATTCGAGCAAGGTCTGCTTTGTCTTAAAAGATTTGCATGGGCACTGCCAGTGATTGCTTCCAAGGCAGCATTCACCGGGGGGCGGATTCGTCTTGCTGCTCCTGTCTTTTTTCGTCGCATTTTGGAGCTTAGCTTCAAATAAGAGAAGCAGGTACGTGTGGTTCACTTTAGTGTATGGCTGGTGCGAAAGAGGTTGCCAGAACTTCAAATGGATCAATATGAAGCCATGAAATGCGTAGAGTTTCTGCTCTGAGCGGATAAAAGGAGTGCCTGTATGCCCTGCTACTTGCCTCAGGCTTGCGATGAGACAAGAACCGGTACCATGATTTGACGCATGATGTCAGGCGGTGCGTATACTTCGGTTGCACCCCGGGCTTTGGGTATAATGGGGTTGGTTTGCGCTGAGAAAATTCGAATTGCAAGTCACAGCTTTATAGAGACGAGAATAAATTCGAGCTGAGCACAGCTTACGTTCACACTTCCTGAGCCTAAATCGCTTCATACTTATTCGAAAACTCTAGAAGGTATATTTTGCGAATGCGGTGTTTTCCTTTGGGAACCCTTCTTTTCCGATCACAAGCGCTCACATTCTTTCCACCACGGCACCGACAAAGCACGTCGGACAAATCTGTCCCGCTACGACTCCAGCCATCTGAGGATGATAAACAGCGCTGCATACTGAACAGGCCCCATGTAGAGAAGTGAGCACCTGTAGCGTGATGTAGCATAATCGATTTGTGGGTGGCATTTGCGCATTGGTTTCGCCTCTCTTTTCACACACCTCAAGGCGGCGATGCAGCTCTTCCTTCTGAGCCGGAGGGGCCTTTTCCAGAAGATGCCGTAGCCACCGTGCACACATTCCGAAATTTCCCACAACGATATTCTTTTCAATTGCCACTTTCATCGCAGCAGCACGGTGGCGCGGAAGTAAATGCTTCAATTCTGCCAAGAACATCATCAAAAGCGCCATCTCTATTTGGCGCCGTATGAATTCCGGTGTGCCGCTCACGAAGCGAACCAATTCTGATTCTAAAACGGCATTTCGTATCAGGATCTTTTGCGCAATGACGTAATTTGAGCATGTAATAGTTTCACGTTCCCGTCTTGGCTGCATTCCTCGAAGCATCTTCAATGTGGCAAATACTTGCTGCAAAGCCAATGTGAAATTTCCGGCTTGCATGGTCATAGCAAACTCATTCATGCGATTTCGTAGCGTTTCATCCGTACTAGGGTCTATTGGTCTATTGGTCGTGTTCACATCACTGGATGCTCCAATGTTTTGATCGGACTTCAGGGCGGACGGATTCGTCGTATCTTTCTTCTCCCCGAAATGAGAAACATCAAATTCTCTTGTCTCCTGCATTTGCGCTGCAAGAGCAGGAGGAATCGCGGAAGAAACCGATTTCATTCCAATTTGTGCTCTTGACGCGGAAGAAGCTGAAGTACGAGAAATATCGGAGCGAGGTGCGGATGGTGGCACGGGAGACAATTGGCCGGTTGCCAACGGGAGTGTGAATGCGGGCGGATTCTGCAACGGCATCATCGAACCATTCATGCTTTCAGCACCCCGGGACGTATTTGCAGAGAAGGCTCTAGAAGCGGGCGGTAGAGGGTAATCTTGCTTCGATGCTACCTCTGATGAAGGGTGTCTGTCTGAAACTGAGATGTGGCGATTGTTTAGAGTTTCATTGTTCTTTGCCGGAATGGTGCTTATGACTAGAGGGCCGTCATGTTTCGACGCAAGTGGGCCTTCCCTAGTTGTTGACGGCTTAATGGGGCTTTCGAGAACAGAAGGTCTTTGCGTAACTGTTTGAATGGTATTTGGGTGAATTGGGCTAGTAGTTGCGGTGGTACTAGAAGGTGGTGCATTCGATGTTGGGGGAGATTGAGTAGCTTGACGCCCGTCAAGAACGCTACTGGCAACGGACCCCGTGCCTTTCGACAGGGGTGAGGCGGAAGAAGGCAGAGTGAGAGGCGTTGACGACACACTGTTCTTCCGGAGTGCAGGTTTCTGAGATACTATATTGGCATCTGTTTCTCCTTTCATTAAACCCACAAACCAGGTTAGATCGGCTTCTTGGTCAGGAAGATATTTCCCGAAACTCGCCCATGCAAAGACGTCATGTGGGAGCTCGAGTCCACCTAGTTCGTCGTCAAATCCATTTTCGCTGCCGTAAACGGCGAGAGGTTTACCAGCGCCAACACCTCCTGGCGTAGGGCTGACGTTTTGTAGAGGTGATTTTGGTCTTCGGCTGTGCGTTATCCCAACTGTCGACTCAGAGGGTGCACCGCCAGTAACATTCTTGAACGCATTGCCTAGCTTTCCGAGAAGGCGACTTCCGCCTGCGGAAGACTTTTTCTTTTTCGGATCCGCGCTCGATAGTCTGCGGAGCCCGGAAGGAGGCCTTGAGGGAAGAAGTTTTGATCGAGTTGAAACCTTTTTGGTGGTTTCACCGGGGTTAGGTAAAACAATTGGGGTGTCACCGCGCAAGGCATACCCAGCCTCGTCGTAAACTTTGGCCACAGCTTTTGAAGCGCTTTGGGCCAAGGCATCTTGTACGGACATTACAGCGTTCTTTAAATGAAGCAAACAATCTTCAACGTCATGACACAGGTCAAACTCGCCTGGCTCTTCATCCCAGATAACCATAACTCGAAAACGATCGTGGGCGATTTCGTACGTGAGATATGGTGGACCACCCCAGTGTGCGCTTACCTCCGTAACGGAATGAGCTACACCTCGTAATGACTCGCAATGGTTTGCAAAAGACGCGATAGTATCGATTACCTCGTATCGTTCTGAGATGGAAACAGAGCGAGTGCGAAGAACAATAGTGGCATGGCGAGGGATATCATATACGACTGTTGCTTTGATTCCCATACTGTTTAATACCTCTCAGAAGACTCAAGCGAGAGTTGCCCCGGGGTCCGCTGGTTTGGAGATATGTTCTCTGAACATGTATGGTGTGGCTTCCGTTTGCAAGAATCACAGCATGTTTGCAGAAGCGGAAGCGAGGGCAACAACGGAGTGAATCCTGGGAAGGGTTCAATTTTGCTTTCGGTTTGTGTCACATACCTTACCTTCGAAGGTACAACATCACGTGGTGCATCTTGCTGGGCTAGAAGCGGGTTGTGTTGCTGGAGTGCTGTGGCTCGGGGGTTTCTGTTTGCTTTCGTTGTAGATTGGTACACGTGTACAGCATTCACACGCATGCGTGCAATACGTATACTGTACCCTTCTGGGAGGCTCAATTCTGAAAAGGGGTCAATTCTGAAAAATCACTCACACGTGTAGCGCCCTCCCGCTCTCAGAAGGTATTTCAGAAAGATGTTGAGTTCTGACATACCTGACTCAGAAAATCAACATCTTCCAGAAATACCACCCCCTGCCCACCTCATACCTTTCTCCATTCTCGAAATCATCTAATTGTCGTCATAGATGTCGACGCTGGAGTGCTTTTTCATAATTGCCCCTTTTCAGAATTGAGGCCCCCAGAATGTGAAAGTTTCTATCATAATGTCTCTCATATGGCGATATACCTCACCACGTGAATGGGTCACGCGGTGAGGAAAGAACTTGCCGTGTTTAGGGTTACAGTAAATTAGTATATAACGGACAATCCTATGCGACTAGCGCGTGGGTCTGCCCGGAGGCAGATTTGAACAGATGTGTATACGCAGAATCCTTCACGAACAGCGCTCCGATTGCCCGGAGGTTCGGTTGGGTTTGAAGAGCCGGTCGTAGGTTCTTCTAGACATTAATAAACTGTTTAAACTATTTCCTTCAAACTTTTTCTGGGACAATTCCCACATTGATCAATCGCGTTTTCCCTTATGTTTTTTCTCGACAATTCTATTGGCCAAGCGAAGATCCGCCACCATTTCTTTCGAGCACCTCACGTATCTCTAGACCTCCAGCCCGTGTGTTCCTCGCTGCTCGCGCGACGCTCACCTCGCCGCTCGCTGGTTGCTCTCTACGCCGCTCGCACTCTACTCACCTCGCCGCTTGCTAGTTGCTCTCTACGACGCTCGCTCGCTGCTCGTTTATCAGCCGGCTTATCGATCGTTCGACACCGATTGCTCGCCAGCTCTCTGCCCACCGCTAGCTGGCTTTTCGCGTCGCCGCTCGCGCTCTTACTGGCCTGTTACTCCGCCGACACGGCTCCGTCGCCGCTACTCCGAAATAGCCGCGCCGTCGTCGCCCACCGCTGGCGCTCTCCCCGCACCGCCGCTGTGCGGCTCGCGCTCGCACTTCTCTTTTGCTGCGTCGCCCACGCTCTCACTGCGCCGACGCGCCGCCGCCGCCGCTACTCTCAAGCCACCGAGCCGCCGTGCACGCCTCTCGCTACTGCCGGTCAGACGCCGTTGCTGCGCCGCTATTCCGCCGCCACCACAGCCACTCCCAACCCGCCCCGCCGCTGAGTAAGGCTCTTCCTGCTGTCGGTTCTACGTCGCCGCTGCGACAAACTGTACGCCTCCACTGCGACGCCGCGCGTCTGCCGCTGCTACTCAGCAAGCCGCCGTGCCTCCGCGCACTCCTCTCGCTGCTGCCGGCCCTACGCTGCCACTTCGCCGCCCCGCACAGACGGTGCTGCTATTTGCAAGCCGCCGCCCCGTCGCACACGGCTCTCGTTGGTGCGCCGCCGCCGCCTCGCCGCCACTCGCTCGCCGCCACCCGCCGCCGCTGCTGCTCTCCAGCCCTTACGCCGCTGCGAACAGGTCCTGCCTCTGCCTGGCTTGCGCCTCCACTGCGCCCCCGAGGCACGCCGCTGCTACCCCGCCGTCGTGCCACCGCCGCTACTACCGCAGCCAACGCCTGCTGTGGCCGTGCTACAAACCAACCGTTGTCTTTGACTCCCACTTCCAGCCTCTGCGCTCGCAACTACTCGCATTTTCTGTTGCCGTGTTGAGGCACTCCAGCACAATCACTGGTGGTCAAGTGCACACCCCCTCACCAGCCAAAGGGGTTGTCGTGTTGGACTACTAGGTGCCCGGCCGATTCACACGGTTTGGGTACTGAGACTGCTACGAAAGGGACTGTAGGCCTGTTGTCGAGGTTTGTGGGAGTTAGGGAATCGGTTCTGTTTTAACTTTGCTCGAGAGCGGTTGACCCGGAATAAATACCCGGTGACGCGACGCTGGCAACTCGAACTGGAAGGTGAACCTCTCCGGCAGGGAACTCCACCGGTCCTTTTTAGGGCGGATAACGGTGTCGACCCTCTGTGGTCTGGTGTTTCCGGGCGTGGGAATCCTCTGGGGTGTTGTGCACTGAGTAGGTAAAAGACAGAACTGCCGAACTAACCGTCGAGCTTGCTTCCCGCAAGAGACCAGACAGCCTTAAAGCCTGTGTACTGGTTGCTGTGGAAGTCTCATAGGGATCTGAAAGCGCCTACTCCGTGAACGCAGGAGTAGGTAGATAGCTGAAGACGTTCCCTGACCCGTACAGTCTACGGGCGCCAGACGTCGGACCTCTTCTACCCGCTAGAGCAGCGGGTGCCGAGGGTCGGACTCTAACAAGGTCAACCGTGTTCAGCTCAAGTTACTGCCCAATCAGCTCTTGTTCGTCAAGAACACACTACCCAAATCTTCCCCAGTCGCCTTCTGCTCTCCGACATGCAGCCTTCCCCCTCCAACGATGGAGCAGGGCGATCGGAAAGCGGCCAACCTTCAACTCCCGCTCCTGCCGAACCCCAGCATACCTTTATGAAGGGCATTTCAAGTGAGACATTGGGTGCACTTACTAGTCCTCAGAAGGGGTTCATATCCTCAATCCGATTTCTTGAAGGGAACCCAGAACTCACAGGTCTTCAATTGAAACGGGCCATCGCCGATATGTTCCCACCCGCCTCGCTTTTCCGACAGGAGATTTGCGACATCCCTGCAGTTCTAATAGAACTTCGGAACTTCCTTGATAGTCGAGGTGGAAATTTGCAACAGCACTCGTCTCACAGGGTCGTCATGACTTTGGCGCACGGCCTTTACGAAGAGGCTGAAGACACACAAGCAGCGATTGACATGGCGCGTGAAATCGTCGCTGCTGGTCGCGGACCTCGATCGACTGCTTCACGCTCAAACAGGAGAGAAGAAACGCAGCCAGCTTCTCAGGTGACAACACCGACCTCCCCAAACTACTCCTCAGCAGAAAAGGTTGCACATAATGTAGCTATGAGGCTTAAGGACAGGGACAAAAAGTTTTCTGGAGACTTAGGTGACTCTTGGATGGAGTACGTCAACGATTATATGCAGCTTTGTCGTGACTACTCCCTATCCCCTTCCCAGAAACTGCAGTATCTTCATAACCTGCTACAGGGTGACGCAAAAGATACTACCTGGATAAGGTATATGGATATGCCACCATTTTCCAACAGGCCATTCAAATGCTAGAAAGCGAATACAACTTTGCTGTGCGACAGAGTAGGGTCAAGAACTACTTAGGCTCCCTTCGTGTAACTTCTTTTGCCTCCCAGGGTACGGAAATGTCTGATGCCCTTGCGAAAGTGTACAAATCTATCATAAAGCTTTCAAGGCAGGCCCCGAGATCTCACCAGGGGGACGCACACAAGGCTGAATTCTTGCGGAACGCTGTCGTCGGGACTCCTTGGTCAAACGAACCATTGAGTAGAGTCGCAACACACCAACTGACATTCCAGCAGCTTTATGCAGAGCTACAAGCAGCTCTTCAGTTGCACAACGAATCTAAGCTGGCCATGCTACGAGACCGTGCTCAACTAGGGCGAAGAACACTCCCTGAAGATGATTCTGCAAGGATTATGTACGCCGGGCAAGGCCGTTACTATCACGGTACGGCTCCTTCTCATCTCGGTAAGGCTCGGAAGCCATACAGACCATCTTCAATTCCCAGAGGGACAGAAGCAAAGCCTGCCCGCACGGGACAGTTCGACCCCCCCTCAATTTCTGGATGCTTCAATTGTGGCGGTAATCATCTTGTAAAGGACTGTACTCTGCCGTTGAATACATCTCGAGCAGCCGCACGGAAGATGGATTACTACTCGAAGAAGGCAAACACAAAAACCATCGCGGTGCATCACGTTCTAGCAGATCTATGCCAACAGCTGGACTGCACACGAACTGATGATCCTGACGAAGAAATCGAGTGTAACGACGTAAGCATATTCGAGAGTATCCTTGGACAAGAAAGCCCAGAACCGGAAGTTGAGTCCGAGGATGAGGGGACCCCCTCATACTCGGACGAGCATACAACTCATGTCTACTTCACTAGAAAGACTTGCAGCATACCATCTCTGGACCTCTTCCAGGGCGTCTGCATTGATTCTGCCGCTCAGAAGTCGGTGATAGGAGCTTGCGAAGCAAAAGCGTACTGCAGCTTATTCGACATCCCTTTCCAACCCTCTGACCGCAAGACAAAGAACGTGTTCAGCTTCGGGACTCATAGACATCCTGGTCTTGGGATTTTGGACATTCGAGTACCAGTCAGCTCAACCCATTTCCTCCCCCTCTCCGTGGATGTGGTTGATACCAACGTACCATTCCTTCCCGGCCTCGATTACACGGAACGGTATAGAATGGTAATTGACACAGATAAGTGTATTCTCTCACCAAGACTCCAGGGGTGGACTGCCCCACTAAAGAAGAAACTGGGGCACTTGCACTACCAGTGGGGTCCACAAATTCTCTTTACCGAAACCGAATTGATGAAAGTACACAAGCACTTTCACCACCCAGATTCTGAAAGGCTTTACGCGGTCATGAAAAGGTCGGACCACGGGAAAACCTCCCCTCAGGTTCTGAACGACCTGAAGCGCATCAGCGCAGCGTGTGACCTTTGTCAAAGACTGTCACATGGCCCACATCGATTCCGGGTCGCACTCCCAGACGGAGAAGTGTTTTTCAATAAGACCGTATGCCTGGACCTCATGTACCTCGACAATGCCGCAGTCCTGCACGTGGTAGACAAAGACATAAAGTTTTCTGCGGCCTCATTCCTTCCCAAGGCGACTGCTGATGACACTTGGAACACTTTCATGCGCATATGGGTCTGTATATATATTGGGTTCCCAGACATAATGGCAACCGATCAGGGACCCCAATTTACGTCCAATAGATGGCTCAACCTAGTCAATCTAGCCGGGATCACACACCACCCTTCGGGTGTACAGAGCCACAACGCATTGGGCGTTGGTGAGCGGTATCACTCCTTTTTGAGAGGTATCTACCGCAAGACACGGCAGCAA